TAAAACAACAATCGAAATAGAGTTTACAACCGGAAAGTTGACGAGCTCCATACCACAACTGACTACAACGAGAATCATACCCTAAGTATGGTCTAAAGACACAATAAGAGCAACACCAACAACTAATCCTGAGCTAAAGGCAGTTACACAGTAACTGGAACCAGCAACTCAACAAAGACACTATACCCAACTTAAAGAACAAACTAGCACCAGAAAACACAAATCAGTCTAAAACTTACAATCAAAAGCAAAAATAAAACAAAAACATAAGAATCATAAATGTTAAGTCCACTGACCCAAATAGACCTAGACCCAGCAGTCACCAATCTTTAAGCTCTGTGTCTTCTGAAGTTGATAGAAGAGAATTCTTGCCACTCAGCACTAGCCACCCTAACAACTTTTGCTTCATTCCTCCAAGTATGCTGAAAGATACATAAATTTCTTGTTTTCCAGATCCACCACAACAAGTAGGTGGACAACTGGATTCTTTGCTCAGCAACCTCAGACTTTTTCATGGAAGAAATCCACCGCCACCAATCTTTAAAACTCTGGGCATCCTTCATAGATTCTCCCCAGTCCACAGGAGCAAGCTTCCATATCAATTTGGCTCTGCTGCACTGGAAAAAGATGTGTTCAGATGTCTCAAGAGCCTCCCCACAACCTTGGCATATGTTATCTAGAGTAAGCCCCCTTCTGGCTAAGTCAACACATGTAGAAAAAGATTCAAAAAAATCATTTCCACAGCAGGTGTTTAATTTTGCCTTTAACATTCAACTTCCAACACCTTTCTCTAGCCACTTTTTCTGTTTTAGCAACCTCACTACTTTCAGTCCTGTCAAAGTTCAACAACTTGTTAATCATTAACTGAGAATAAGCATTAGACACTGAAAACTGCCCTTGACCTTTTCCTATCAAACACCACTTATCCCTCTTCCCTGGGTTCAGAGTTGTAATCTGCAAAATTGTATGTCCTTCAGTTTTACCAAAAATTTCCAGCACCATATCAGAATTCCAGCTCCTGCCACCTGGTCTCAGCAAATCTGCCACCCAAATCAGAGAATTAGCCCACTGAGTTCTTGTTGGCACTCCTGTATTTAAGCGTGGAATCCATGGGTCAGACCATATTCTGGTACTCTTGCCATCAGCTACCTCCCTTCTAAAATACTGGTGGTAAGATTGCAGTACCTTCATCCTACTATTCCACATCCATGAGGAGCTGGGAGTTCCTTTTGCCTCAAATAAACTACATTTGGGAAAATATCTCTGCTTAAGAATTTTAGCCACAAGCAGGTTAGGCTTAGAAGCTATTCTCCATATATGCTTCACAATCAAGGCATCATTGAACAAATTTATATCTTGGAAGCCTAGACCACCCCAGTGTTTAGGGGTTGTCATCTTAGCCCATTCCTTCCAATGAATCCCAGATTTCTGTTGATCTCCTGAGCTCCACCAAAACTTAGCACAAAGTTGGGATATTTCATTTCACAAACTCGTGAGTTTTTAGTGGAGAAAAATGAGAAGTAGAAAGAACATAGACATTATGTTGCAATATTATAATATGTACATGGTCTTTCTTATACATACGATCTCATGAAAAAACCTTTTTTACCCCAAAATTTACGAAACCATATGCGATATAAAAATCATCTATCCAAATAAGTCGTATAATTAAAAAATATCCAAGATTTTGTCATATATATTAACGCATATCCTGAACAGACGCATAGTTAACAATACAAAACATATTCGCATATTTATTAATTGCATATCCAAATCCAGCGCATCATTTTTGTTATGCGAATTTATTTCGCATATATAGTTATTGCATATCCAAATTCATAGCAACATATTTTATTATTATGCAACAGGTTTTCACATATTTTACGAGCAAAATTTGGAAAATGGTCTGATATGTTGGCCATTTTCTGAAAAAGGTTCAACATATAGGGCGTCACCAAGAATGGTCAACTAAATTGCTATTTTAATTAAAATTCGTACAATAACCAACATAGTGTACTAAAAGTGATCATTTTTTGTGGTCATTTTTAGTAAACTATATTGGTTATTGTACCAATTTTGATTAAAATGGAAACTTAGTGGTCTATTTTTTATGACACCGTATATGATAGAATGAGTTATGTTCGTTTTACTGAAGCTGTGCACCAACATGTTTAGGGTTCTCAGACTGCAACTAGGTTCATAATGTTTGTCAATATATGACCTGTTATAATTTCGTTATTTGCTTCTGAGTTCTTCTTGAAAATTGTAAATGTATGTCGTAGGTTTAATATGAGTCTTGAATTATGTTATTTGGGTGCCTGTACCTTATAATATCCTCAATTTTGTGAAACTCTGTAAGTTGATTATTTCTTGTTTTGAACTGCGACCATGATTTAAATGTTTGCTGAAAAATATGTGATCGAATGACCTTGTAAGCTTGTGTGATCTAAATGAGAATTGTAGCCGCATGTCTTAGGTTTCCTATTAATCTGAAATCATGCTTATATGACATATATGTTACAAGTTATACCTGATTGCAGAATGTTGTACTGTTCCATTTCGGTAAACTCGTCAAAGTCTAGCGGGGGTAGTCAAGTCGAGGCCGAGGCGACTTGGGAGAGGGAGACCAGGATTCGAAGAGAGTACCCGAGCTTCATATTTTGATGTTTTTTGTACTCTCTTGCTTTCTAGTGTTTTTTTTTTTTCGAATTCCGATGACGGAATTTCATTTAAGGTGGGTAGACTGTAGCGCCCCATTCGATTTATAGAATTTATCAGATTATTATATTTATCGAATTTATTTATTTATTTATGCCTTATCTACTGAGAGGTCCACTAGAGATCAGAAATTGTTGCAGAAAGAACAAGATCTTTATTTTGTCCCTTCGAGGCTATCGAAAAATAAAGAACTGGTTAATATATTCAAGATAATTAC